TAATCATTTATTTAATAAAGTAATTTTTTAATTTAATTAATGGATATTAGGATGATGAGAGTAAGATTTATATATAAAACGGTCAATATCATTAGAATTCTTTTAATTTTTTCATCAAAAAATTTTATCAAAACATGGGTAAAGAAAAGCATTTGCCGAAACCAAAGAGCAGTAAAATGGGTGCTAAAAAGTCTAAGAAGTCACAAAACATAAAAAAGAAAAATGTAAGGTTTATAAAAGGTATTAACTTTAATATATCATTAACACAACAATAATCTTTTATTTATTGGAAGCGAGTTTCATTACGCAAGCAGTAGCTCAAGCAGTTGTGGCAGTATTTAGTAAGGGGAAGGGAAGAGCAAGATCAATATCGCTCTCAAGCTCTAGTAGCTCAGAAGCTACTAGTAGCAAAGATGAAAGTGAGGTGGAAGATAAATCGATTAAAAGAAGAAGAGGTAGATCGGTTAGTAAGAGGAAAGGTAGATCAGGTAGTAGAGGTAGTGGTAGGTAGTTAGTAGGAGCACAAGTAGCAGCACTAGCAGGTCTAGAGTAGTAGTAGCAGTTCAAGTAAGGTGTACCAAAAGTATTGACAGATGAGCAGATGTCTCACTTACGAGTAAATATTATTTGTCTTACGTTTGTGTGTTTGTCTGTTTTTTATTTTATTATTATTATTAATTAATTTACTTTTATTAATGTTATTATAATTAATTTACTTTTATTACTAATATTATTATAATTATTATTATCAAAGAACGAAATTAAAGTATTAATAGAAGGTGGTAAGCTATCTGACCTAAAGCCTGATCTGGCTAAACAATTGGCTAGCCAATCACGGTATGTGAGGCAAAAGCTGATTCTGGCTATTACAAAAAAATTACCAGGATATCAGCACCATTCTGGTGCTATTGAAAAAAATTTAAAACAGCATCATAAGATGCAGTGTTGGACAGCAACAATAAATATTGATTCAAAATTAAAGGCCTACAATCGTGTCAGAATGGGAAAAAATAGTAAGGTGAATAAGGTAAGTATAATAAAATTTGTCATGTAAATTATTTTTTAAATCAATTCTAGAGTTACTTGACTAACAAATCATTTACCTGATAA